GCGACAGTTGGGAATAAAGCTCCAGTTCACTACCAATTAACATCCACAAGCCAAGGGCATGATTGAAAGACTCCACCACCAGTTGAAAGCTGCTATAATGGCTCACAACAAATCAGACTGTACTGAAGTACTGCCCTTAGTCCTTCTCAGAATAAGATCTGCTTTCAAGGACGACATCTCTGCTTCATTAGCTAAACTGGTGTACAACGAACCGCAAGGATTGGTATCTGTGCTAAGTAAGAATCTAACAAAAAACCACTAAGTGGTAACACTTTCCCCGCCAAGTCAGCAATCCAAAAAAGTTAACAAATCATTACTTTTTCCGCCAAGAAAAACAATGTAATGTATGTAAGTTTGGCAACTTGGCGGCAGACTTTTGCTTGGTTTTTTTCATTTAAGTTACGTTCGTGGATAATTTCACAAATCAACTTCTCTAATTAATTAGTCCAACTAAGTATAATTTATGAAATGTGGCACAAATAAGGTCAAATTTTGTAAAATAAGCTCTCACCTAGCAATGTACCAATGGGAGGGATACTTGCTCAATGAAACTAGTTTTATGGTATTTTTTAAAGGGATCGAGCAAAAGTCTGCCGCCAAGTTGCCAAACTTACATACATTACATTGTTTTTCTTGGCGGAAAAAGTAATGATTTGTTAACTTTTTTGGATTGCTGACTTGGCGGGGAAAGTGTTACCACTTAGTGGTTTTTTGTTAGATTTTATTTATTTTTGTAGAAAATTAACAGTTAAAATAAAAATCCTCTTTTCTCTGATATATAGACCACGGCACAACTACATCTCATTTAATTTCAATAATATTGTTAATGTAGAACTAAATTCTACATTTTTGGTCTTATCTGCTTTAAACAGATTAAAAACTTTTTGACACACGTACCAAAATTACTATTTAACAAACCCACTGGGCTTAAACTCAGTTTCAAATTTCATCAATGCTCATCTTGAACAACATAAAATGTGTTGATGTTACATAAGTGTTCTAATAATTAAACCCGTATATCTAAAGACTAATGTAAATTGAGCCCTTATTAGAGATGTAAAAATGTAATCAAACTAATTAGGTTTGTTAGAAATAGCATAAGGCAAAACAAATATTGAATAACTCATTTATCCTAAATTTACATATCACTTTTTAATTGCTTGTTTAACATATGTAGAGTGATTTTCCCGATCGTTTTATTTGTTTTAGTGTATCAAAACATAGAACAAACCTTAGTACTAGCGTACTAGTACTAAGTTTCAAGTTCCTAGGTTTCATATGTTTTGATAAGTAGTATTAAACTGTTAAAAATGACGAGCTGCTGTACCAGTGTACCATCGGTACACTGCATTTTTCAATGGAAAGTATCGGGGAATATCACTGCTCTAAGTAATTTTATATAGTAAGTAGTTCAAATCATTCAGTATACCTGAAAAAAATACTTTATAAAAGTATTAAAATAATTTTTCAGCTGTTCCTATGAATTTCTCTAACATTTAATTAATTAAGATTTAATCGCAGCTGGTCCTTCTTTTGTTTTGATTTTAATCCCATGTTATTTAAATGGGCCAAACTCGTACTTTGAGGGCTTGCCAAGGGTTTATGGGTCAACGCACCGACTTGAGACCCTCAAAAGGCACATCTACACGCTAAGGGCTTTCAAACAACATAAAAAACGTTAAAATTGAGCCAGTGGTTTGGGCTGTAGGTCCGTCAACATTTAAGGAGAAGAAGGAGAACACGGAAAATTTGTGAATTTTCAAACTAGTTTTTCTTGGCTCAAACACAACCGTTTTTTAAATTCTTTTTTTTAATTTTGTTGAGAATGATTGCCCCTATCCAGTAGATGAACAATTATTTTAATAGCTTTTGTTTCTTCAGAGCTATAGACGAGTAAAAAAGCCACTTTGTCACGTCATGTATATATACACTGCAGCAGCTGTGTACCGCTGGGGGACTTGGCGGGGCGGAACGCTGCCGCGTTCCTTAATATTAATCTCCTGGGACCTACACCCGCATCAGGCCACAACAAACCAGGATTGTTTGTTTTCAAGAACCTAAGCACTTGTGATTTTGTCTTCCTTCAACAAGACAGCTTAAGAAAATCTTTACAGGCCCCATATTCTAGTCCCTACATATGCCGTAGTGAAAAGACAATCATAATCATTATAAGAGGCAAAGAAACTAAGGTATCTTTGGACAGGGTCAAGCCAGCCTATATTGTTGCAGATGAAATTTCTTATTTATTTTTATTTTCTTACTTACTTATTTGGTCGTAAGTTTTATTTGAACTACACAAACAACCACGACCAAACCCCCCACATTAGGCAGCCCTCTGATTGGTATATAGGCAAGTACTGCACAACAATCAGTCAAATGAGTAGGCAAAGCTTATTTAGGCCTAATTGTAAACACCGTACCAAGGTCTACTCTTATTGGAAACACAAAATGAAACTTCTTAAGTCCAAGGCCATAGCCAGGACAAACATTCGGGGGGGAGGGGGTCAGGTCAGTGGCGGTTCTAGGACCTTGGATGTAAAAGGGGGTCTGGGAAATTTTTTATACTTTAAAGTACTTTAGTGACTTTCTAAAGCAAAACACCTAAAACTGTCTTCAATCAACCAAAAAAAATCCCATTTAACCTGTTGTTTGTCATAGGCAAGTAGACATTAAAAATTTAAACTATGACGATTGCATTTATAAATTTCTAACCATACTGTAGGCAACGTCTGTCATCCTAAAAACGGTTTGGTACTTTCTTTAGCCCCTGTAGCCTCCCTTGGAACCGCCACTGGGTCAGGCTCTGACTGTGGATAGCAGATTTTTTAAGCACACTTACGAACACCGATTCCCATGCTTATTTCTAAAATATTGATATAGTTACATATGTAAAATAATACAGGATGATAAATCTGTTGTGTTTGAGTTAAAGTATTTTGTCCAACCTTCGAAGTTTTATCACCTCTTTAATAGATCAGATTTATTAATAGAATTATGATATGAAATATGAATAGCTACTCCAAAACATAACATACAATCCTCTGTTGTGGTTTCTATTTTATAATTTAACTTGCACTTTTTAAACCTAGTGTTAATTTTTACTAGGCCTACACTAAATTTCGGGATTTCGGGGGTGGGGGGGGGGGTATCATACCTACTAGATTTTTTTTTGGGAATTTAATAGCCTATTAAAACATTTTTAGCCCTGGAGGACCCCCCCCCCCCCCATATAAAACAAACTGTCTGGTAGGGTACAAAATGGTTAAAATAGTGATGTAGGCTAGGCCTAATAACTTACTTCCTCAACCTAGTAACCGAGGTCTAAGTTAATTCTAAGAACAGTATTACTTTACGTAACCTAAACCACAGGTAGGCTACCAATTTCATACAGTAAAATCCAGACCCCATTTATGAAGACTTTGCTTAATCAAAACAACCATCTGACACCAGTTAGCGAAAGCTAAACGAGGAATGTGTCATTGTATAGTAGGTACAAGTGGTTTGGCTGAGTGGCATGCTGTTAAATAGTTTAAATGAATAGGTAGCCTATGACCATCACTGTGCATGTGAGTAAAAAGGTGCAAACGGAAAATACACTAAGTTAACTTAAACAAGCTTAAATTTTTAAAATGTTTGATTTTACACAAGTGGTGCAAGTTCTGGAATCGGGCTTGTTATGTTTACGAGATTAACTTATTGTCTAAGAAATTAAATTAAGAATTTAATCTGAAGATATTCACTTATTTTATTACAAATTTAAAAATTAAGGCCTAAATAGGCTACCGACCTCTGTTGTGCGGCTATAAAATGTCAGACAAATACGGTTTTGAATCTAAAGATTTATTCTCAAGCTTAATACCAAGCAGGCCTGGGTACCTAGTAACTTAGGCTAGTTTCGTTATAGCCTAACTGCTAAAAGATTTGTGACAGACATTTGTCGCCTGGTGTGTGTTTTATGCAAACCCTTAGACTTTACGGATAAATCTCAATCTCTCTACGGATTACTGCAGACGTTGTACAATTATTTTACCAGAAGAATTTTTTAACAAGTTTTCAAAAAATAAGGTGAGTTTATCTCAGTTAAATTAAAAGTTAGGGCCTAACTCACACCAATTTTATTGGTAGATTTTGTGTTTTTGGGGGTAAAATAAGTACCTAATAACTTAGGTTTCCATTTTGACTCTATGATAAATAGCTTAACTACCCTGTTGAATATTATTTGAATCATTCTTGTAGGCTACCCAGACAAAAACATAAAAATTTAACTTAGGTAAAAAGTTTGGTAAGTTAAGTTAACACATCTTAGCCTATGTTAAGAAATCAAATTAAGTTGACCAAGCCTATCATAGCAAACCCGCCAGATTACAAGATATTACAAGAAGAAACAATTTGATGTTGAATGTTTGTCCACAAAAAAATAGACTAACTTATCACAAAAAAAGTATGGACTGATTGACAGGTGACAAGGTTAATTTTCAAATTTAATAGTATTATCAACAGAACTTAATTTCTGCTTCAAACACGTAACCCTAATAAATTATGGTAAAAGGTGAAGCCATAGAGGAAAAATAAAATACCTGCTAAATTATTTTATATTAGAAGTAACTAACTAACTTATGATTGGTAGGAGACATTATTTAGAACTTCAGTTGCATGACATTCAATTTCAACCAAAGAAGTTTATGTTGATAACAATTTAATCGTGAATGTTTTTACCTTTATATGAATCTGAGCAACATTAAGAAGCCTACTGAACAAAATTGTATTGTGTACTCACTGATTCTAGCGCAAAACAAATTTTTATAACATTCTCACCTACCCTAACCTTCACTTATTGGTTAGGGATGTGCCCGTTTTAAGGTTAGTTCTTTAAGTCGTTAAAAAATCTCTCACGTAAATCTCACACTTTAACTAGTAAAAATAAATATGAAGAGAGCTTTGTGAATCTTATGATACCAGTAAAACCAAACTGGAATTGAAATTTACACTTGATTATTTACCTGATGGTTGAACTTGGAGTCGACGTGCAGACGGCCATCAGCTGCCGTAGAACCTGCTGATCTGATTATAACAAGGTTTTCAATGCGTATTTCATTGCGATATCCTTTCCAAACTGTGAATGAGCCGAAACACTGAATAGATTATAGCTTGTATTACCTAATAATTGTCCGCACAAAACTATAAGTGTTTAGTATTTCTTGAAAACTCGTTCACAATACAACCGTTTATAAACACAGGCTACATTGAACCGACAATGTAGACCTCATTTTGTTGTAAATACTACCACTGCTGCCACCTAGCGGGTGTAGCGTTCAACTACATCTCACACATATGAAGGACCTTTTCCTGCCTGTTATATTCAAATGAACCTTTTTAAGTGTAGGAATTTGTTCCCACGAAATTAAAATGAACAATTTGTATATAGGAATAAAAACATTCACATAATAATGTATTAACTCACAGCTTACTCAATTGAATTAAAATAAGAATATAAAATATAGTGTTCACAATTAAATTAAGTACCTAAGTCTATAGATTTAATTTATATTATTTAGCCTACCTGAGCCTGTGTTACCAAAAGTTTAAATCAACAGTCATTCACACAATATTTTATTTAAACAATTTAATATAATTTTAAACGTAAAAAAAATTAAAACATATATGTGACTAATCTTGTTTTTTTCCTAATCACCCCTTTATCTAATTTAAGGGTACTTTATTTCCTTTTCCTATTGTACTTTCCTATTAAGGAGAACATTCATTATTATCAATGATTTTTTATAAATTAAAATTTTATTTTTTTATCCGAAAGCCTATATCGATATTAATGAATTGAAACATCAGCTGACAACTACAATAAATAAACTGTTCGTATTAACATGAAACATGTTATATTAACTTATGGTATTACGGATATAAACATAAAACAATAATACCCCTGCCGCAGCAAAGGTATTGAGGTGTTTTTTTTTTTAATTGAAATGTTGATATAACTTAGTATGAGATAAACAAAATTGCCAAATTTGATTAAAATAACATCCATAAACAAACAAACTACCCACAACAGTTTATTTATTCTCCATAAGAATAACATGTGAATTTTAAATTGAAATATTTTTTATTTTATCACCGTAACCGTTGGACATACAACAACGCTTCAATATACAAAATTATTTATTTTTAACCCTTTTGCCGCCACGGTCCGATATATCGGACAGTGGCGCTATTGCGAAAACCGCCACGAATATTTTTTCTAGTGTTGTTGCTGGCTTATGAGTTTAATTTGTATGTATTTCTTTCGTATTGCGAAACATGTTGTTAATATGTACAGAAATAAAAAACCAAATCTAACCCAATAAATTGTATATTAATTTAAAGACAAATTTATAACTAATCTAACAAAAAAAGAATTATTGTTCTATGCCTAAAGAAACAAGAGATAGAGCTTGTTAATCGAAACATTGCGCTTGACCAAAAAAATGGCCTTGGCGGTTTTAGCATGAAGTCACTTAAAAATTGTGGCGGCAAAAGGGTTAAGCTCTACAAAATGGTTTGGAAAGAAATGAAATTTTGTGTTTTTAGGGTTAAAAATGGGAAAAATCAATTTTTACCCCATAAAACCACCCATTATTCATAAACCTTTCCTATAGTACAATTATGTTGATTCGCGAACTCGTCCAAATAAATGTAGGTTTACACATGTGTACCAAATTTCATCAAAATCGGATCATTTTTGCTCGAGTTATCAACCTAACTAATTTGATTTTATTGTTATTATTATTATCTTGGTACTGTCTTTCAATGAATAACTGATGAAGCCTATTGTAATCATGTATTACTTAATGGTGAATAAACTTCTTGATTCTTGAACTAATAATCACTAACTAATCATTTAAAAAATTCGTATTGATATTCCCCACATTTATTTCTGTTATAAAAATGAATTTTTAAATGTAACAGTTTGGTTAGTTATAGGTTAGTTCAGAATGGTTTCATTTCTTAATCCCATATTATTTTCGTTAGCCTCCGAATCACTTTAGTTAATTAATAAATGGTTTAAATATACCTTAACTGTCAGGTGATCCTTGGAGTAGTATTACACTACTGCAGTTTCAGCCCTCAGGGGGCTTTCTTCAGGTGTCAAAGGAAGTCAAAAGTTGTCATTTGTACAAATTCGTCACATTTAAAATACGAGAACACAGGCACGGACACAAACACAAATATAAAAACAAATAACACGTAAGAGTCACAAACATTTTTCATGGGTACCATTGATGCGCGACGCACGCGAGAAGATGGTCTAGACTAGCATTATCAAGTTTGTAGTCCTTTGTCCACCCCCTCCCTTATCTTTTGTTATGATAGTGGAGCCGACCGTTCTGCCAACTTTAATGTTCATTTAGTACGTTCTGGGGTTCTTTTTTGACGGCCTTATATACCGGTACAGTATTTCAAATTCTTCCATTGTGTCCATGAATCGGCCTTTATTGCACTTATGGAGAATTTCGAGATTGTCGTGAATGGCGGAGTAACTGTGGTTATTATCAATTAAATGGTTAGCGTAGGAAAATGTTAATTTTGTATTATGTTTACCTGGTAAGTGTTCTTTAAATCTGGTGTTAAAAGATCTGGCAAATTGACCAATATAAAAGCTTCTTATAAATTAAATTGTAGCAGCTGCCCCAGCTTTTACCCCTGGACTCCGAAACCGCTTGCCAGATTGTAATGAAATTTTCAGGCATTATTAAGCATCTTTCAAGGATGGTTTGTGTGAAGTTTGGTGCAGATCCGTCAAAAGGTCTCCGCCCCAGAGGGTTTTAAGTGGGCCAATGTCAGACTTTTTGAACTACAATGTTTACAAATAAATATATATATATAAATTCAAATTTATTTTAAAAATTGAAATCTTACTACACATTGTAGTCTGCTGTAGAACAAAGAATAATATTACATTAAATTTTGCAAGTTTGTTTAAACCTAATTATGATAATTGTTATATAGGTGGTTTCTTATAATATTAATAGAAAATTTTATGGCTGTTAAAGATATTAAATATAGCACTTGATTTTCCAAATTGAATTTCTTCCAAAATTTCTCAACTTGTTGAGGAATTGTTCCTCTTGATCCAATGAGTAGTCCATATACTTCGAATTTTGATATTTTATATTTCTCTGAATAATATGGGATAGTTTTCTTATAAATATTTACTTTTTCTTCATGGACTTCCTGGGGCTGATTTTCATTTGTCTCAAGACGAACTGTTGGGTCTATAATGAGACCGAAATCTTTCTCCTTGTCTATAACAATGATGTCACTCCGCCTCGCAGAGCCCTCTTCTTCTATTGCCGTGACCTCTTCATAGACCTCGTAACTTTTCTTTCTGAATTGATCAGCTATGATTTTTCTGATGGTATGGTGGCGGGTATTTCGTAGAAGACTACTAAATGGGCACTTTCCAAGGACGTGGGCAAGAGTTTCAAGAGTAAATTTCTCAGATACAGGACAATGCCTGCACTGGTTCCCGTCCCTGGATCTCCCATGAAGACTTCTAAGAGGAATAACGTCTCCGACCATTTTCAAGTATTGTTTGAACTCAGCTTCTGTGAGGCCACAACCTCTAGCCAAATTTTTATTGATCTTGTTACATTCTTTGAAAAGAACCACCCCATTCCCTTTGTATGGAAGTTTACACCAATTTTGATACTCTAAGTCTCGTAAGGTTTCTCGCAGTATCTTGGGTTTTGATTCGATAAATTCAATACTTAAATTCAATTTTTCCAGACAAAACCTAATTTCTTCATCAAATTGACGAATATTAAGTAAGTAGGGGTTTCCCGTTTGTTTTAATACGCGACATATGTTTATATGTTGGATTGATGATTCCCACATTGATTTACATAACCCAATCCCTTTGTTTTTAGTACTTGTATAAAACATAGAATTTGGCATATCATTTGGAAGATCTAAGATTTCCTTTGTTGTTGATCTTATCACTTTATCAACATCGTCAAAGAATTTCATTGTAATTTTCTTAATTGGTGCGGTTTGAAAAGGATATATTAAAGATGGCCAAATATTATGATTCAATACATACATTTTTTGTTCAGACCTTAAAAAAGGAGAACATGTTAATTTTTCAATTTTGTTTATCAATGAACTAATTGTTTTTTCAGAGTCAAATACTATGCTTTCAGAAAAATTTACTCCTAAGTATTTAACTTTTTCATTAAATGTTATAGATTTTATTTCTTTTGAACATATTTGGAAGTTTTCCTCTTGTAATCTACCTTTTTCAATGTTAATAATTTTAGTTTTTGATATATTTATAGTTAATCCAATTTCTCTGAAGAAGTCACAAATCGAATCGAATAATACAAGAGCACTTTCTCTATTCTTACCAATTAAAATGGTATCGTCAGCGAATCCTAGAATACTTAGAGAAGGCATGTCCTTGCATAGCTTATACCCTAGCTCCTCACTTACGGCATGTTGTGATATTTCAGAGAGGATATGGTCAATACATAGGTTATACAAAGTGGGTGACAATGGAGATCCCTGCATTACACCCCTTTGTATTTTGATGTCCTTTGTTTTCCCTCTATGAGTTTCAACTTTTGTAACATTGCCTATTTGGAGTTTAATTATTATTTCAATCAGTTTCCTAGGAATAGGTAGCTCCTGCAAGACTGAGGATAAGTGGTTATGGCCGATATTGTCGTACGCTTTCTCAATATCCAGAAACATAATACAGCAGTCGGTTTTCTTTGAGTTCAGCCGCTTAGATAGCGACCTCCTCTAGCATTGGATTAGCGTGCAGGTTGCTATCTAAACTGCCAAACTATAGCTGTTACCCGACAACTGTTTTGTAGGTTGTAATAATCACAACATGCTGTATTAGTCATGATTTGAAATAGTGCCACAATGGTTCCACAGAGTGCAGCTAAGAAAACTATTTTACTTTTGAATAAATCCAAATATATTAAACCCCAATCGCAGCACACCTGTGCACTCAACGACGTTTAAATTCTCCAATGTTAAATCTGTAAACATAAAAACCTTTACCAAAGTATTATAAACAATAAATGGGAAGTCAATGCGTTAATATTTTTATCTTTTATTCTATACCCTCAGTGGTGGTAGGTACGCCTAAAACATATATTTATACACCTAATGAAAAAACAATAACATTGTTTATCCACTAGC